TTCACCTTGGGCATCTTCAGGTGCCAGTCGGGGCCTTGGACATCAACATCTGGGGCATTGATGTCCACTTTGGGACCTTTGATATCAACCTCTGGGCCTTTTAGATCCCCTTCAATCTTGGGAATGGAAATGTCTACATCACCCTTCATCTTGGAGCCCTTCAGGTTTAAATCAATGTCCGGCATCGATATTTTGGGAGCTTTTAGGTGCATCTCTGGCATTGTAAATTTGGGCCCTTTCAATTTACCCTCAGGGCCTTCGATGTTAGTATCAGGAATGTCAATGTCCACCTTGGGGCCTTTGAGGTCACCTTCCACTTTTGGCAAAGACACATCCACATCACCCTTCATTTTGGGGCCCTTCAAGTTGAGATCAATGTCAGGCATGGAAATCTTAGGAGCTTTGATGTTCATCTCAGGCATCTTGAACTTGGGACCCTTTAGTTTTGCATCTGGGCCTTCAATATTCACATCTGGAAAATCAATGTCCACCTTGGGTCCTGAGACATCAATGTCTGCCTTGGGAAGGTTCATGTCCACTTCTGGGCCCTCCCCTTTGAAGCCAGGCATGCTGAACTTGGGCATTTTTACCTTTGGCATCTTTAGGTGCCAGTCTGGACCATGAACATCTACGTCTGGGGTGCTTAGGTCCACTTTGGGACCCTTGATATCAATGTCAGGGCCCTTGAGGTCACCTTCCACTTTGGGCAGAGAAACATCCACATCACCCTTCACCTTAGGGCCCTTCAGGTTTAAGTCAATGTTAGGCATGGAGATCTTAGGGGCTTTGATATTTATGTCAGGCATCTTGAATTTGGGATCTTTTAATTCTCCCTCTGGACCTTCCACATTGATTCCTGGACCCTCAATGTTCATCCTTGGACCCTCTATGTTGATGTCTCCTTTTGGTAAATCCACAGCCATGTCTGGCCCTTCTGCTTTTAAGCCAGGCACACTGAATTTCGGCATTTTCATCTTGGGCATTTTCAGATTCCAGTCTGGACCATGAACATCCACATCAGGTGCATTGAGATGAACTTCTGGTGCCTTAATATCCACTGCAGGACCTTTTAATTCATTTTCCAAATTGGGAACTGCAAGATCTAAGTCTCCTTTGACTTTAGGACCTTTTAAATTTAGCTCCACATCAGGCATAGAAACTTTGGGAGAAGAAATACTCAAGAAAGGCATTTTAAATTTGGATCCTTTCACCTTTCCTTGGACCTCAACATCAGGAGCATTAATATCAACTTTTGGACCTGTTACATCAACATCTGGTTTTTTTAATTTGACATCTACCTCAGGTGTCTGACCTTTGGAGCCTGAAAAATTAAATTTGGGAAGTTTAAAACGAGATTTCTTTGACTTGCCTTCAATATTGACCTTAGGACCGGAAATGTCTACTTCTGGGCCCTTTACATCCATATTAATGTCACCTTCCAATTTGGGCCCAGAAATATCAACATCTCCCTTCAGCTTCGAGCCTTTCAAATTCAAGTCAATTTCTGGCATGGAGATCTTGGGCATGTTTACATGCATGTCAGGCATCTTCAGTTTTGGACTTTTTAATTTGGCATCTGGGCTATGAATGTCAATATCTGGGACATCAACATCTACCTTTGGGCCCTTTATGTCAACAGTTGGACCTTTCAAATCACCTTCTACATTAGGAAGGGAAACATCCACCTCTCCTTTCATTTTAGGGCCTTTAAGATTAAGGTCCAAATCTGGCATTGATATTTTAGGAGCCTTGATGTTCATCTCAGGCATTTTAAACTTGGGACCCTTCAGTTTTGCATCTGGGCCTTCAATATTCACATCTGGAACATCAATATCCACCTTGGGTCCTGAGACATCAATGTCAGCCTTAGGCAGGTTCACTTCCACTTCTGGGCCCTCTCCTTTGAAGCCAGGCATGCTGAACTTGGGCATTTTCACCTTGGGCATCTTCAGGTGCCAGTCGGGGCCTTGGACATCCACATC